TATATATATATATATGAACAGAGCTGTACAATTTCCATTTCCGATGGTCCAGAGATGTTGAGACATGTCAATTGTCATCTTTTTGGCTCCAAGGAACACCACAATGGATGTGAAATGAGACCAACATGTCTTTTAACTATGAACATTCAACTTTAACTTATATTTTATGCACAACAATGTTTTCAAATCAGAGGTCAAGGAAACCAAGTTACTTCAATTCTTCTTCAATTCAGTAAAAAAAAAAAAGACGGGTTTGTAACAAAAAGAGGACAAGTCTTATAGAAAAAAAATTATGGGTGGATTTTTTTCAAACATAATAATAACACTGACATGAAATAAAAGATTTTAAATGAGGAGTAAACTATTGTATATCTGTGAATAGAAAAGTGTTACAATTTTTTGTAACAACGCTTCAAAACTTTGCGTCCAACTAAAAGTCTGTAGGAGAAGCACAAGTGAACTCCCTGATTTTGGGCAAAACCAAACAGAAAGTAAACATCGTCCTATCATTATGTGGCATTCCGATACACTCTGACCCAAGCAATGTCAACTTTGAATATCCATAAACTGGATCTGGCACACCTTATCAAACAAGATCAGAGAACAGGACTTTTGTGAATCTGTATTTTATTTCAGTTTTTTTACTCTCGATTTGAATGTGTTTGCCAAATGTGTGTCACATGTACCTTAATTGCATGACTTTGAAAACAATGTCTGCGACGCTGCCATCATGGACACAAGGGCACAGTTTTCCTTGATGGCGCAATTCGAAGACGTCCCTCCAGTGATTCAACATACGATTGCCCATAAACATGCACGTGGCTTCCTGATTGTGTTGCACTTTGTACTGCCTGAGACGGTACCCGGCCTCGACATAGCATTAAACTAGGTGCCAGCCACCTTTGCCCTGTCTCCAGTAATTAAGGTCAACCCCCAAGGGAGGCAGACTGAAGATGTTGGCTATCTTCTACAAGCCTGACAAAAGCTAAAAATACTTCTAAATGATCACTACAGGCTTCTTTTTTTTTAATCTAACTCTTCAGGAATATCTAAACATCTTCTTTTTAGATTCATGCTAAAAATAGAAAGATCACATCCTCACGCAATGTGATCTTTCCAAATATAGCTGTGAATGATAAATAAACACTTCTATGTAAAAGACAGTCATGTCCGGACCAATCAGCATTTGACTGCTTGTGTGCTACTTTGGAGAAGAAAAGCCATGTGGTTATTCGTAAAGGTTGTGGCTTTGACCCACTTTGTCATGCCGTCTGCTGGCTACAGCCTGGCAGGAGACTTAACAAGGGAGACATACAGACAATCTTCAATCTCCTGTGCTACCTTTCTTCTTTTTAAACCAGTGCGAGACTACGCTGTCTATTCAAGAGGTGGGATGCACCCTGGACTGGTCGCAGACAATTGCAAGAAAAGTTTGATTACCCCTGATTAGAGTCTCTAATGACTCTAGCATGCATGTGATTACCCCTGATTTAGAGTCTCTAATGACTCTAACATGCATGTTTTTAGAACATTAAAGGAAGCCGGAGAACAAACAAACTCCACGCGGTAAGGCCAGCACCAAGATCATGAGCCAGAAACGCAGAAATGTGCAGCAAATGTACCGGTACTAACCACAGTTGCCCCCACTGATTAAGCAACGTCTCAACTCAACTCAACTGTATTTATAGAGCACTTTCAAACAGCCCTCGCTGCATACAAAGTGCTGTACTTCTTCTTCTCCTTTCGGCACGTCCCTATTCAGGGGTCGCCACAGCGAGTCAGTAATTTCCATCCGCCCCTGTAAACCGTCCTACCAACTCGCATGGTCGCCTTGGCAAAAGTTTTACGCCGGATGCCATTCCTGACGCAACCCTCCCCATTTCTCCGGGCTTGGGACCGGCACTGGGGAACAGTGCACCCCCAGGATATTTGGATATTTATTTGGAGCCATTAGGAACACGCAAACTCCAACAGCAAATTATTGTGAAGTTGACCACAGAAGAAACCTTTTGTGTTCTCTGACGACAACAGACATCCACAGTTGCTTGTGGTTTGAAAGGAGCATCATCTCACAATGGATATAAAGTTTTGTTCTCGTGGTGACACTACACAAACAACTCATTTAAGTGGATTAAAACAACAAAAAAAATAGTGTGTTTTTTTGTTTTGTTTTTTTACTTGAGCAAAGAGGGGTTTTATTTTGACTTGAGAGCCCTCTTAAATTGTGTGTAGGGGCAGGATAAGAGAGAGAAAGTTTGTAATATTTGTACAAAGTCAAATCCCTATTTCAGTGGAGGTCTTCCATTTGTATTTGTTCTACTGGGCAACAAAAAGGGAGGGCCACAAAAAAAAAAAAGCTGTGGGTTTCACACCAATACTTCACAGGCAACCATTCAAGACATCAACGCGGGCATCTTGTTAGACAATATATCTTGTAACAAAGCGCTTTATACAACATTTAATATAAAATAAGAATAAAACATCAGAACACAAAACAAATCATCACCCTAGTTTGAGACCCTATCCTCAGCTCAAATTGTCATTAAATGGGAGTTAACACATCCAACTCAACATCCAGCCATTCATTTGAGGACTGGAGCGAACACAAGAGTCAACCTCACCTCACCCCACAACGTTTTCACAATTAGATCACAGTTGATGGGACAAAAATAAACAAAACAAACACTCAAGCACACGACAAGGCAGCGACACATCCAGATGTGGGTCCGGAAACATCGTGAAAAGTGCGTCCACTTACTTCCTTCTCGCGTCGCCGCTCACGGTAAGCAGGAGACAAGAAACCCTCCTGTGTGCCTGTGCGACTAGATCCTGCTCGTCGAGTACATGCTTTGTTTGTTTTGTGTTTTTGTGTTGCTTTCTCTTTGCGGACAGGTGACGAACGTGCGCGAGCTCACCTGCGTCGCTCGCTCGTGTGTGACTACGCGCTCTTGTCCGCGCCGCAGATCACTTCCGGGACTTTGTGGGACGCGCGCGCCCGATTAGTGCCTTCAAAGACACTATCATGGTCTCGTGACGTAACACGAGCGACCAAAGCCCGGCGAGAATCGTTTGCTCGCGCAACTTTCATTCATTATTCGAATCGTTTATGCTCCCATGCTTGCGCCGAAAGAAAAAAAAAATAACCCACCAAAATAGTCTTCTCAAAATAGTAAAATATTCTGACACATACTGTCGCATGTTTTTGATTGTATTTTTGCTTCCTAGCCTCCTACCACGCTGTACTCAAATAGAAGTACAAATACTTGTCTTAAAAAGACTGCTAAAAGTTCACAGTACTAATTAAAAACCTTAAGTGAAAGTAAAAATTCAGACTTTGAAAGTAGAGGGAGCTCAACACAAAAATGTTATTTGCAATAATATACGGTGTCCCCTACTAGTCTAAACACTGTGTTCTGTTTAAAAATGCGTTTGTGGAAGAAGAATTAAGCAAATGAATCCATCCGTTTTCATCAAGCTCAGCGGGCTACCAAATTGGCCAATACTGCCCTCTGCTGTCGAGTGAAATTCATGTCATTGCGAATGCCGCGGCTCACCCGTTTTCTGCATTCATCAATTTTCATGCCTCTTATCCTGAAGAGGGCCGCGGGGAGTTGCTGGAGCCCATCCCAGCTGACCTCGGGTGGAAGGCAGACTACACCCTGAACTGGTCGCCAGCCAGTCGGAGGGCACATCGAGAGACAAATGACCATTCACACCCACATCCACACCGCCAATGAGTGGGAAGCGATCCCACGCTGCCTGCACACAAGTCAGGCGAGTGTACCACTACACCATCAGCAACCTTCGGTCCTGACCTTTTTCTTATTTCTTTAGTCGTCTTACATTTCATGGCGCGTGGATCCAACCATAGCAACCAGGCCTCTCCATCTGGGTCTACTGTATTGTGGGCAACATGTTGAGCTTGTGCCAGCGTCGTGGGTCATGCCCCACATAGCAAAATTTGTCTGGCCCAGTGATGGGCCACAGAATCCACTTGCACTTGGTCCACATACCTCAATGAATTACGGTCCTTTAGTGGTCCACATTTGGTATCCACAACATGGGCCACATAAGGCCTACCGGTATATCTGAGCCAAATTGTAGAACCATAACTGCTCCTACTCTGGCCCGATGATGGACCAAAACTGGTTCTTGATATCAGCCCAAATTCAGCCTTAAACAAGCCATTTCATTCGTGAGCCATATTTGACCCAGATTTTTTGAAAAAAGCCTCAACAACTATAGTGTTAGAATATACATATGTTTCTTTTCAGAATACATAAACTGGAAAACTACACATTTTTTTAACACTGTGCATGGAGTCCAAACGTGATGCAGCATGCTCTTGAACAGTATTCATCCATCCATCAAATTGTTGGGCTCTCCATGCCCTCTTTTTTTCTCATCCTCTCCATCCTGCCACCATTCCTGTCAGGAGCCAGGTGCAGCCATCTTTGGATAGTGGCATTGATTTCCTGGTCTGTGGACCCAGACTTCAGGTGGTTACGCCTCACAGTAGCTGAAACATGCAAACATGGTTTCATGTAATATCCACCCAACCATCCATTTTCTAATCTGTTTATCCTCATGAAAGTCGCGAGTCTGCTAGAGCCTATCCCAGCTATCATCGGGCAGTAGGCGGTGTACACCCTGAACTGGTTGACAGTAATAAAAAAACTCAAATTATCTGAGGCGGCACGATGGTCAACTGGTTAGCACACCTGCCTCACGTGCAGAGGTGCAGGGTTCGATTTCGACTCCAGCCTTCCTGTATGGAGTTTGCATGTTCTCCCCGTGCCTCCCACATTCCAAAAACATGCATGGCAGGCTGATTGAACACTCTAAATTGTCCCTAGGTGTGAGTGTGAGCGTGGATGGTTGTTCATCTCTCTGTGCCCTGCGATTGGCTGGCAACCGGTTCAGGGTGTACCCCCCCTTACTGCCCGAAGACAGCTGGGATAGGCTCCAGCATGCCCGCGACCCTCGTTTTTGGAATGTGGGAGGCATGGGGAGAACATGCAAACTCCACACCGGGAGGCCAGAGCTGGAATTGAACCCTTGCACCTCTGCACTGTGAGGCTGACGCACTAACCACTCGCCCACTGGGCTGTCGGTTCAAATCTTCCCAATACAAATTAAAAATTTCTCAAAACAAATTCAATTCGTGTAACAAACATCCGGGTTTGATAGGGGAACACATATCTGCCTTTTGGCCAATCGGCAACTTTGTTTTGAGGCAAAGCTCGCCGGAGAAATGTGCCTTTTCTCCCAAACAGATTTTAAAATTTATAACTCCTTTTGTTTAACCCTAGTGGAATATGTCATCAGGTCAGGCAGGGATGAAAAGACGCTTCTTTTCAAATATAGGAAAAGGCAGTGTATGGATAGCAACATATCACAACGAAGGCCCAGAGTCAGTATGTCTCCAGATGAGTTGTTTTTTTTTTTTCCCCAGAACCCTGACGTCATGCCCGATTGAACTCCATGCCTTCGGCATTACTGACATCTAACGGTAGAAACAGCGCACAGCATATATTGAAAGCAGGGGCTCAATTCGACACAGGACATCACATAGCGAATGCTCTGTTTCTGTCTTTCCTTGGTTATTTTAGTTTGAATATACATATGTTGCTGAGTGGCTGTTCTATTTGGGGCAGTATTTTGTACCAGAATGACTTGATTAGGCTGCCTCATAGTTACACCAAACCAGCCTCATGTTTGAAGTCATTAGGCTGATATTTTCTCGAATGCATTTAGCCACATGAAGAAAATATCAACTTTTTATTGCAAAACGTTTATATTTGGTTGCTATAAACCTTTTACAGTAGTTTATAGTAACCAAAGTTTATATTTTCCTTATGTGGTCATACGCATTTGAGAAAATAGCCTGTACTTTTAAAACACAGGTGAAGACAAAACAAAAACAACGTTTTCACAATTTCAAATTCATGTTCATCTTTTTAATGCAATGATTCAAATTAAATATTACAAATGCAATTTACTGTATGTAATTCAAATTCAGCTTAAGCATTTAAAATTCAAATCTGAATTAATCAGATTCTGTTCATAGTGGCACAAATGTCAGCCCTTATAAAACATCTGGTATGAAGCCCAATTTACCAGTAACAACAGTTTGTATCTGTCGGCGCGGGAAACGAGTCTTTCCATTTATTCCTCTTATGTTTATTTTGCTTGTCAGGGAGTGTCATGGTTGGGTTTTTTTTTGTCTCCAGCAGGTGGCAGTAGAGGGCTCTCCCTACTGTCCAGCGCCTGTTCTTCGTCATATCATTATTTGTCAGCTGTTATAAGAGACTGCCAAGCCTCCACCAGTTGTCGGATAATTCGCCTTGCTCACGTCCAAGTGCTTATTTTCTTCACCTTCGTTGTTCTTGATCTCGTTGCAAGTCCTGTTTGTATTTTGGATTGTTTAAATTGCTATCTCTGTTTTGATTTGGTATCGTTATCCTTGGTGCGTTTTTCTATTCTTCTTCTTCATCTTTCCTTGTTGTTTTTGAACAAGTGATTTTGTGTTAAATTTTTCTCTTGCGTTTTGCTAGCTCTTTTTGTTAGTATCGTTATTTAGCCCTGGGTTGTTCATGGCGATTTATGTTGCACTTTGTGGATTTTGCAACCTTATTTTATTGTCGATCTTACCCTTGTCTGCGTTTGTGGGATCCGCTCCTGGTCCAGAACCATCACAGGGAGTTAATGATCATTGCATGCATAATCCTCCAGACACGTTCATGAATGTCTACCCCAGCTTTGAGAGCCAGTATATTTACCTGAAATCATATCTCTATCATTTCATGATGATTTTTTTAAAAGAAATATGGTAGTTTTATATGGACACTGGAAAGCTTCTTAAAGTTTTGCGATCAGAGCAGTTGTGGAGGATAGTCAAGTCAGTTTGATGAGATGTGGTCACATTACAGTACAGTATATATGATATGCCAACATACGAATTGTTTCTGGAGATCCGGGTTAATCTGCCATTGTTCCTCCAGGCTCTGAGGAGAACCAACATCTATGAGAGGCAAATTTCGATCAAGGCCTATCTCTGCTTCATCAACCACTTTCATACCCTGTAGTCTTAAAGATGAGTCGCAGTTGCTCATCATCATTTCTTGCTTTGTTAATATCTTATGCAAGAGGGCTGTGCATAAAATGAACAAAAAACACAGATTAAAAATACTCCAAAATCCATGTTCAACTTAATGCTACCTACTGAAGTACACCGTATAGTACATACTGTAATAGCACCACCATTTTCCAGATCACCTTCTTATAATTTAGCATACGAAACAACATTTGTGAATACTGGATACTGGATGTCTGCTCACTGCTCTGATGTGACTCAGGGTGTCCTGATGGGACCACGGAAGATTGCTGTGCTTCAGTGCACGCCCCTTACTGCTGGTGGAACTCGGTAGCAACATCTCACTGTTGATGCACCTCGGTGCATGGAACTCATTGCTGGCGCCCCAAATCCGAACCCATAATCCTAACCCTCAATCCTAAACCCTACCCTTTACCCTAACCCTGACCCCTAACCCTAACCCCAACCCCAACCCCAACCCCAACCCTAACCATAACCCCTAACCCCTAACCCTAATCATAATCCTAACCCTAAACCATAACTGTAAGCCCTAAAACTAACCTTAACCCTGACCCGAACCCTAATTCCTAACCCTAACCCCTAATCCTAACCCCCTAACCGTAAAACCTAACCTTGACCCTTACTCTAACCCCAAACCTTAACCTGAACCCCAAAATGCTAATGTTACCCCCTGACCCAAACCATTAGTCCTAACCTCAACCCCTAACCCGAACACAAACCCTGACCCTAACCTTAACCCTAGCCCTAACCCTCAACCCCAACCCTTTACCCTAACCAATAACCCAAACACCTAGCCTAACCCTAGCCCTAATCCCTAAACCTAACCCTAAACCTAACCCATACCCTAACGCTAACTCCGAATCCTAACCCCTAACCCTGACCCTAACCCAAAACCTAACTCCGAAACCTCAAATCCTAACCTGTAGCCCTAACCCCTAACCATACCCTGAACCCTAACCCCTAACCCTAACCTTCACCCCTAACCCTAACCCCTAACTCAAATCTTAGTGAAATCCCTAGCCCTAGACCCGAACCTATCCCAAACCCGAACACAAATCCTAAACAAAACCCTACCCCTGACTCTAACTCCGAACCCTAACCCCTAATCTTTACTCCCTAGCCCTAAAAGCTAACCCTGACCCTAACCCTAACCCCACACCACTAAATTTAACCCCTGACCGTAATTCCTAACCCTAAACTCTAACCCTTAACCCCCTAAACCTAACCCAAATATTAAACCTAACCTGTGCCCTAGCCCTAACCCTGAATATAGCCCAAATCCAAAACAAAACCCAAGCCCTAGCCCAAACCCAAACCCTAACAGTAACCCCTAACCCCATAACCCTATCCCCCTAACCCTATGACCCTAACCCAAACCCATAAACCTAAACCTAACCCTAGCCTGTAAACCCAAACTGAACCCTAACGCCTAACGCCAAACCCCAAACCCTAACCCATAACCCTAAGCCTAAATCCTAACCTCTAATCCTAACCCCTAACACAACTCTAACCCGAATTCAAAAAGGAAATAATGTGTCAGAATGAGTAGCACATATGTCCATAACATCTTTTAATTCATTCATTTTTTCCCAGCAACAACCCTCAATTTTCTGAATTTGTCAAAACATTACAAGACAAAAAATTCAGAAATTATTACTTACATACTATACCTATATTGGATGAAAGCAAACCTTGAACAAATGTTCAATTTCAGACCCAATTGATTATATTAAGTACCGTAGATGATGAAATCCCTAAATTCCTTGCAATTGTACGTTGAGGAACATTGCTCTTAAACCGTTCAACAATTTTCTCACGCACTTGTTGACAAAGAGGTAAACCTTAACTCAGCAATTCAGCAAAGTTTGTTTCCTGTCGAATCATGGCATCCACCTGGTCCAAGTTAGCCTGTTTACCTGTGGCATGTTCCAAACAGGGTTCCAAACATGCTCCCTCAATTTTCTCAGTCCTTTTTGCCCCCTGTTCCAGCTTTTTTGGAATGTTTTGCAACCATAAAATTCAAAGTTAATGGTTATTTGCTAAAAACAATAAAGTTGACCAGTTTGAACATGAAATCTCTTGTCTTTGTAGTGCATTCAATTAAATATAGGTTGAACATGATTTGTAAATCAGTGTATTCTGTTTTAATTTATGTTTAATACAATGTTTCATAAATGTTGGTTATCAAGGTTGGACTTAGTGTCTTACTATATGTGTATGGCAAGTAAGCATGTATGGCAGACACAATCCGTGTTGCACCTGGTGCATAGAGCAGCTTCCACCATTCTGCTTCCACGTTTGTTTGTGTGCGCATCTGCCTTTGCAGGTGCAAACCTTTAGTAAATGAGACCCTGTGTGTGCATGGAAAATGAACAGTATGTACTGTAATTAAAGACATAAATAGTAGACCAGCTATCCTGTTCATTACATGACCATGAACACGTTTATGCTTTTTATGCAGTTTCAACTCATTAACTCCCAAAGACATTCGATCTCAGGTACTTATTTGTATTTCTCTCTTTATTTTTCAAGAGTTAGGATAACAAAGGTTTTGAAAATGGTTGGCACTGAATTTAAATGATTTTTGCCTTTAAGCTTCATTAGCCAAATTCTTTGATTAGCCGAGGGCCTTTGTGTGGGGACAAAACAAGGCTGCTAATAAAAGTGTATCACTTCCCTGCAAGTGTCAGATGGTTCCATCGCTCCTCCAGCTGGTCAGGAGGGGTGGGGGCCACCTGGATGCCGAGTGTCGGCCCCGCGAGATCCTGCGCTTTCCTCTGTCGCGCAACCGCTCCGCATGTTACGTCGCCGAGAGGTCCATCTGGTCAGGATGGCTCCTCCCCGAAAGTTGAGACCCCTGCAGCGTGCGTAGTCGTACACACACCCTGGCTTCCTCCCAGTGCGCCTCTTAGTTAAATGAATAGCACAGAAAGGAGTATTTAGCCTTTAACTGGATAAGAGAATTCACAGAAGCGTGAATTCAAAGCAATGATTCTTGAAGCCGCCAGCGTTGCTGCATCTCAAATTGCTGAATCGACAGATGCGTCACCTGTGTGTGACTTTGCCTCGTCTTTGAAAAGCCTTTTGAGCCATATCCTTGATGTCCAGATGAAGGTCAATGTACTCGTGTGCTGTTTAAGTTTATTAGTAACAACATTTGCCATGCTAGTAGGATGACTAGTGCACATTAGTAGATTCAATGTGTTTTACTATTAGCGTTTTTCCATTCGTGCCACTTTGGGCACACCAGAAGTACCTTAGGCTGGATATCAAGGATGTGTAATTAATGTTCCTACAGCTTTCCAGAAAGGTACAGGAGCATCTACTCGTCAATTTACTGCAGTAGTGGAGTAAACCCCGCACAAGAAGTGAAATCCATGATATAGAAATCAAAAATCATGTCAAAATATATACATGTACCCGAGATGCCAGAAGCAAATTACAGTATTTATTTACAATCAATGTTTTTCTGTTGTTGCTATATTTGCTTTTGTTTAAAAAAGTATTTGAAGTGCAGTGAAAACCTCCCGTTGTCAGGTTAAGCGCAACAAATTCTGAAATGTATCTACAATTACCTGGCAATTCTACTCATTTCAAACGTCTTTGAAAAACTGAGTATCGGTAGTAAAAACAATTAGCCAAGTAACTAGTTACCTTCATAACAAGTAATTCAGGTACTAACCTGATTACTTTTCTTGAGCAAGTTATAAGTAACTATAACCACTTTATAAAAGTAACGTTCCCAAGACTGTGTGACACACACAGGCGGAATATATAGGATGTAGCGTGGCATGGTGTACGACTGGTTAGGTCAGAGAGTCTGATGTCTGGGGTTTGATTCCTGGTTCAGGCCTTTTTTGTGTGGAGTTTGCATTTTCTCCCTGTCCATGCATGTGTTTTCTCTGGGTTCTTCCGTTTCCTTCCACATTCCAAAAACATGCATGGTAGGCCAATTGATCACTTGAAAATTGTCCTTCGGTGTGAAGAGTGTGAGTATGAATAGATGTTGTTTGTCTATGTGTGCCCTGCAATTGGCTGGAAACCAGTTCAGGGCGTACCCCGCCTACTGGCTGATGACAATTGTGATAGGTTCCTGCACGCTCGCGAACCTTGTGAGGATAAACAGATTAGAAAATGGATGGATGGATGGATGTAGTGACAGATGAACAAATATTAGAGCATGCAACCAAGGCTACACTGTACATGTTTTTGGCACCCTCCCATTTGAGGCACTGGCGACCTGTACGCAGGGCATGGTATACATGGACCCATTGCCACACGAGAGGAGCAACAGATGGGCGGCCTTGAGGCGGCGCCTGGGAGACTTTTGTGACGGTTGAGTTGTCGTGTGATCACTGCATTCAGGTGTGTGTCTCGACAAAGGCCCCTGCTGCTCTTTTTAAGTATCAGGGTCATTGTAGCCTCAGGATAATCGGAGACACAAAACAACAGCGGCATCTGTGGCAGGTAATGATCCCCTCTCCAAAAATCTGACTAATGATGGTCCTCGACCATTTGTTGCGGTTAAAATCACTGTTGCTCGTTGGAGTTTGTCCTCGAGTAACATGTGCGGCACGAGTTGTGCGAGTAGCTTGGTGGAGCTACAGCTGCGGATCAGCGGTCAACCGGGTTGGTGAGACACTGTTGCAGCTTTTATTTACTGCCAAGCCAGTCAGCTGCCATCAAATGGGCCGCATGGTGCCGAAGGTCAGCTGTGAATTGGGGATCGTTGCATCAGCTAATGAGCACAACAAGCTCTGGTTGCAACATAAATATCAACGAAAGATAACAAATTTCAATTAATTAGCTCATTCACTGGTAGAGTCCTCCATATTTCCATTCATTTCAAAGCATTATTCAGACAATACTCGTTCTGCAGCAATATTAGCATCAAACCTATCAAAACAATGTATGAAAGTGAAAAGCACACACACAAAAAAAAACCAGCTTATGTGTGTGTGTGTGTGTGTGTGTGTGTGTGTGTGTGTGTGTGTGTGTGTGTGTGTGTGTGTGTGTGGGAGGGGGCGGGGTGGATAAAAAGCATGCCAAGTAAAATAATGATTTGGACACTTTTTTGTCGTAGGGGAATTTGTGACACCTCAGACTATGAAACAAAAAAACAAACCGAGAGACCTTTTGATGGCAAATGTATCGTGCCGTGAGCGACACTAACTTGCTTGTGAGCACAAAATGGGGGTTCACTGAAATTCAGTTGAGTCCCACCACTAAATTACACGATCTAAATAGTATTTTCTATGCTGTTCATGCTTGCAATAGTTCTTTTGTTTTTCAATACATACATTTTCAATGTGTTTCCATGTTTTCATAACTTTAAATCTGTTTAAAGCAGAGACTCTCAAAGTGTGGCATGATCACCACTTGGTTGGATATGGACTCCCTGTACTGGCATGCGAAAGAATCACTGAATAATATACAATTCGTGACATTTAAAATGTGAATTTCATATCAATATTAGAATGACGCTGGGCGGCACAGTGAGCGACTGGTTAGCTACATAGGTGTCAAACTCAGGTCCTGGAGGGCTGCTGTCCTGCATGTTTTCCAACTCTCGCTGTTGCAACACACCTGATTCAAATGAACAGGTTCAATACCAGGCTTCCACAGAGCTCACTGATGATCTGATCATTTGAATCAGGCGTGTTTACAACAAGGAGAATTAGGGCTATTGTGTTACTGTATACTGTATTATGGTGGTGCTTGGAGAGCTAAGTACTTTTTGAGGTGGTACTCAAGTTTTATACCACTGGTTGAAAGCATGTGGGAGGGGTGAAAATATTCATTGTTTTTCATTGGAGTCCCACCACGAATCACAACATTGCGTTTGTTGGCTAAAAGTCCCAGTGGCATGTTAAAACACAATCTCAGAAACACCATTCTTCCAACACGGGGCCTTTCTCACCCTTGATCCCATCTCCTGTGCGCCTGCTTTAGTAAACACATCAATTGTAGTGCTGTGTTCATGTGGTCTCCATGTTAACATTGTGGCTGTCAAAGGCCATCATGGCCCTTCAAAGGATGGCGGCTCTCTAAAATGGTCTATCTGGGTAGCAGCCATTTTCCACTTGACTGGTCCCACACACAAGAGGAACTGGTATCCCCTAGCAGCTGGGCCCGACCGGCCACGGGGTGTGGGGAGAAGGAGATGAATGGACTGGATGTGTCGGAAATGGACTAATGGCAACCATGAAAGGACATCTATTTGGATCAAGAGGTGCTGGCACTTTGTACTTAGATATACCCTTCAAAAGATGTCTGATGGTGCAGTTACTGCTCAGATGTTAAGAAATGTAAGCGCACCAGCTCATTAATGGCACCACTTCATCAAACACTTGACAGTCAAAACAAGGCATCATCACAGCTGGGCCCAGTCGTCCCTGAATCTTCCCAGACTAGAATGATTGACCAAATCTCAACGAGAACCTTTTGTTGTGTCCCAACGTACCTGATCATGCAACAATGAACCCAAATGTGTCAACCCTCAGGTCTATCTCAGGATGCATTGACATAAATCATTTCTTGACACCACATCAGAGAAGTTGGCAGTCTGTAAATTGCCTCTGCATTGACAATACAAAAGAACCCCGCCGACATTGAAGGAGTTCATCAGTGTCTATTGACGGCTGCAAAATTACCTTTTCCCAAACACTGTGCATGGTGCCCTGGATATGAACCCAAAAGAAGTGAAACGTGGATGCAAGCAATTTCATTTAGCGCATCAAGCGAGAGCTGGCGGAGCTGCCCGCGATAAACCAGCTAGGCGCAGCGTGGGGGGGGTAATAATTAGCTCGCTGCAGCGGGGTAACATGTTTGCACCCCGTCCTGCTGTGAAGCTCTGTAATTGGTCCCCTCATGTGGCACGATCAGGCCCTAGAACAAAGAGTTCCCTGAGGGGTGGTTCATGCTGACCCATGCTGAACCCTTCAGAACAATGGCAAGCAGGAAGCATTTGCAAATTCTGCGATGTCTCTTCCTGGGCTGACATGGTAGGCACTAAAAAAGCAACATCAGTACCCACTGATAGAAAACAAGCAGTAGGCCTGGATGCGTTGCTGTCTGTCTGAAATGATACTTTTCCGTCACATGCCATTCCAAAGAAATGGACAGCGTTTCGCAAATGGTGACCATGCGGCGGAGGGCTAGTGATGTCACATTGTCTGCGTGCATCGACGATCCACGAGCTGTTCACCTGAAATCAGCTGCCAAAACACTGACTGAAATCGTTGACTGCTGTTGTTATTTTTGCCCTGCATCGTTTCCCTACATTTTTGTCCATCTGTAATTTGAGATTGTGTCCAGCATGTTTGACGTTAACATGCTACTGGATATGTGTGATTCAGAGACACATAAAAGTATGTAGCCATACCAGCATTTATTCCATACCTTGATAAGTGTCTTGATATCCATCCATCCATTTTCTGATCCGCTTATCGTCACAAGGGTCGCGGGGTGTGCTGCAGCCTATTCCAGCTGTCTTCAGGCACTAGGCGGGCTACGCCCTAAAATGGTTGACAGCCAATCGCAGGTAGTGTCTTGATAGTGATGTTATTGTCCTACTACTGTGTGGCATTTCGGCACACAAGTAGGACAACATTGGCATAATAGGACAACATGATATTTGTCGGGGGCAGCCTGGTGGTCGACAGGTTAGCGCGTCGGCCTCACCGTGCAAAGGTGTAGGGCTCGATTCTGGCTCTGGCCTTCCTGTGTGGAGTTTGCACGTTCTCCCCGTGGCTGTGAGGGTGTTTCTCCGGGCACTCCGGTTTCCTCCCACTTGTACTGGGAGCCAGTGAAGAGAAGACAGACTTGGAGTTATGTGTCTCCCACTTTCGAGTTCCAATTAAGAGGCGAGCAGCAGAATTTTGGACCTACTAGAGATGCTTGAGGGAGGACTGGCTGATGCCAAAATAAAGCGCATTACGGTAATGTAGCGAAGATGTAACGTAGGCATGGATTACTGTTTCAAAAGAAAGAATTGGAATTTGGAAAGAATTAACTGTAATTTGAGGTTTTAAACTTGTTGACACCTCGATTCCTTCCCTGCAATCATTGAATTAAAGTTAGAAATTGCAAAGAGGAGACCAATATAAAAATAAAATATAAAAATAAAAATACCTGGGCTGCTCCCTGGACACTCTGGAGGAGGTGGGCAACAGGAGGATGCTAGCCAAGCTAGAAGCTATGATGGACAGACCCTCCCACCCCCTCCAGGACACCCTGACAGCACTGGGCAGCTCTTTCAGCCAGAGATTGATACACCCGCGCTGCAAGAAGGAGAGGTACCGCCGCTCGTTCCTGACGACTGTTGTCAGGCTGTTGAATAGACAGACCTGAAAACCTGGACTCACTCCCACTCACCCATTTTTAATATGCTTATATTTATATTTTATCTTTATTTATATACTTCTTGTTCTTCTACTTCTCCCTTTCGTAATTTTGGTGCTGTTAATTGGGAATTTTTCCATTGTGAGACAAAGGTTTTCTTATGTTAATATATATGGTGATTGCATAATTAGCACAGATAACATTGTTGGTAGGTGGGACTTTGAACTATACATTCTTATTCCTCCATTTATAAGTAGCTGTAAAGATATGAAGAAATAGGTAAAAAGGACAACAAGCTTCAGCCTTGCAAGTATATTGGGATAAAACATCGCTGAGTCGGCACCACGCTGCCTTCTCTTCTTGGGGAGCTGTTGATGTTGATGTTGAACGCATCCATGTTTGCATTCCAAATGGCATTGCACAACATCATTTTTTTGCCAAATGCAATTTGAAAAAACATGCTTGGAGAAAGGCGACTAAGTCGTGATGAAAATGTCACTTAATCTCTTCGAAGGAGCCTCACTTATTATGAAAAATGTATCCTGGCCAGCTGTACTTCATTTGAATGCATCTGAAGCAAATTTGTTCAGTAGTTGCTGAATTACAATAATTAACATTATGCAATAAACACATTGTAAACACATTCAATTAGACAAATGGCCAAGGGACGTAAAAGCTGAAGACTCGAGGGTAACCCGGACGCAGAAAAATCATTTATCAGCCATGCGACGAAAAATATTTGAATACAAGTCAACATTTTTTATACGGGCCTTTACATCGTTTAAAGATTTCAACCAAAGCAACGGAGGGTTGTGGCCTATGATGCACCTGGGAAGAATATTTCCGAGATGTATTTTCACTTTGGATGGAGCTCACTGGACTTTTGACCTTGTAAATATTGAACCTTTCTTAACCTGAGCCAGTTTTGTTCAACTGGGCATATTTGTTGTACATAATATATAAGTCTTAAATAATTCATTGATGAGGAGTAAAAGCCTCTGGTGCGTTTCTCCATCACTTTTACTCTCTGCATTTAAAAAGTTTACATTTGCAGCTTGTTTGTGGCAAACCTGCAATCATTTACAAGTTTATAGAATGTCTTTTCATTAGATAAGTAGTGCCACTGTAGATTTTTTACATTTACAGATACAAGATTGATAGCATGAGCTCACACTGACTATAGATCCATCTCATCACTGACTGGCCCTCTCCGGGTGCAATAACAGCAGATGAAACAGTAATCTGCTCTTTCTCCTTGTTCACTCCAACTTTATCACAATTTACTTCACTATGGGCATCCGGTGCTGCTGAGAATGTCATATGCTAAATTAACCTCTGCCAGCATCACTGGCTGTTGGCCAATGATGAAAGGACACGGACGCCCTCCTGATGATGACGACTGTTGGCAAAGTCTCCAACCTTTAAAACAACTTGAACCGTTGCTGGATGTATGGGATGATTCGAATGCGCTCCATAAATCAGTGAGGGTGTGCTTGGACTCCCACACAACACCGCTCAATGTCCTTGAACGTGTGGCTAATGCAGGAAACACACATTCTATCCGTTCCTGCCATGAGTGAGTCGTCCAGAGCATATATAATTGTGCAGACAGCAGCTGATGTCTGTTTCATACATGTACAGTGCCTAATATTCACACGTCACTTCCAGTTGTGTCTTTGTGCCGAATGGCCGAGCGTGAGGACAGCCAAAAATCCCATTGAGAAATTAACAAGGTCTTCTGTGCTTTTCTCTGCTTTAATGAATAATTCAGCCGTCAGGGTGAAAAAGCAGTGTGAGGAGACCTTGTCATCAGGAACTTAGTCAGCACTCTTTGGCTGAAGGGTGACACTCAACAAAGCTTATACAATGCATCCTGCGGGCTGCATCGCTTCTGCAACCGAAACTCTAGCATTAGGAAGAAACACTTCACTGACAGGATATGCACACAAGTCAATTGGAAAAAAAAACACTTGAATGAACTGGTCCTTCGCATTGAGAGGAGCCAGAAGAGGTGGCTCGACCATTTGATTTGAATGCCTCCTGGAGGATCCAGGACATGCTGGAGAGACAATGTCTCCTTGTTGGCTATGTCTCCTGGATGCCTTAGGATACCCAAAGAAGAACTGGAAAAAGTGAGAGAGAAGCCTGGGCTTCCTGCTAAATCTTCTACCCCGCAACCCGACCCAAAATAATCGGAAACTGGATGGATGGATAAATGTCCACTTAAACATGTGATTAATGTAGTCATCAATGTTGGTGATTTATTTGAGCAGTGTTTTGTGATGGAATGATTCTACAACAAGCATCTTCATTGACTGCAGTTCAACGGCAGTTTAAAGTGTACCAAAGAGTCCCATTTTGAGGTATTGATGAGGAAATTGAGCAATATCGTAAAGTTTGATATATATCTGGCATTCCCATTTCCATGTCTTGTCTTGTATTTTCCCCGTGGTTGAGTTTAATGCATGGCGCCATGTTCGGAACGGATGTGACGTCAAGTCATTGACTGGGCCATCCCTTGCACCCACCAGTTGCTAATGAGTGATACGGCAGATTGCTTGACTATCAATGTAAATCTGTCTTTTCTTCTTCTTTTTTTTTTTTTTTTTTTTATCACAAGTTGACCCTAACAAGCTGTCATATAACAGGTCTGCCCAAACCTAAAAAAAAATGTGCTGCCAGACAGGCAGGACATCAGCATCGCCTTTTTCTTCCTTCGTCTCAGGATCCATGAAAATGGTATCCAAACACTGATATCTACCTATCTATCTTTCCATCCATTCATCCATATATCCATCCAAACAGAAAGGATGTAACCTGACCCACATCAGAGATAGGCTTCCGCCTTCACATGAGGCAGCTGATTATTTATTATGCACTGCAGCCTGTCATCAGCTGTCATAGCATCTCAACAAATAGGTGCTGTGAGCTATTATAAGCTTGCTTTAATACAACCAGGAACCAAAAATGCATTTGGATGCAGTTCTTCCTGATTTCCTTCTCACCACCACTTGTATACTTTAAGAACCTTCATGGCTATTTCAGGGTTTTTCTTCCCCCTTCCTCTTTCTCTGCTCTCCTCTCTCCCTCTGCAGTGTTGGAGTGTGGCGGGAGGTGAGGCCGAACTCAGAGGCGGATATTCACCTCCTCACCCGTGCCACATCAGCTTGAATAGATGGCAGCCTATTTAACCAGCTTCTCCCATTGCATGTGCTGGAAGATCCTCAATGTTCAGACTGTCCTGCATGTTGCTGCTTCCACGTCTGCCACTGCCACGTCTTGCAGCTGCAAGAGTCGCCTGGTGATCTAGTTTATCTTGTTGTCTTGAATATGCCCCTGAAAGTGACTGTCAGTTGCATTTTTTTGACGACAGCATATTAATTTTGTGTTACTACAAAATACATTTTACTTTTGATCCCTGGGTCCAAGCATTTTTTGTTTGCCTCACGGCTCATAACACAAAGGGCTACTGATACACGCCCCTGCATTTCATCATTATTACAGTGGTCTGAAGTAGCTACACCTTATTAGCTTAAGTGAGCTACAAAAAAGGATGTGGTGGGCCTGACCTGGCCCGGGGCCCTAATTTTGATAGCTTGAGGCATGCCATTAGAGAACAGCATGAGTGAACTCTTGCTTGCCAAGTAATGAGTCCATCTTTTTGCTCCGATGTTTGTGTAACTATAATGATATAAAATGCTCTTTTTTGCACACGAAGAAGTTGTAAATGAAGAAAAAGACTATTGACTACAACACACTAGCTGTTTTCTGTTTGTGTGTGTGTGTGTGTGTGTGTGTAGTATATCAAAACCCCTTCATACTTGCTCCAGGTATCACAAAGATGCCATACATCTGCGATGGAGTGTGTCAGCAGGCTGACAAAGCGCCACAAATAGAACTTGCTTCATACTGAATAAGAAAAGCTGTCTTCTTTTTCTGGTAAAGACCTGCAGCAGTCCCAAACGTATGCAGTGAATCATCAGTTACATGGAGCAGCATTGAGTAGTCATCATCCGGAACGAATAAATACATTTAAGTGTCAACAAGTGGGGATGCAATGCTGACGAGACGCATCATGCAAAGATGATCCATTTTTACAGTTAAAACTGAAATAAACCAGATAGTTTCACTGTTGCATCTGAGTGTGAATCATTTAACATTTATTTACCCAGGTAGGTCAGTTGAGAACCATTTTTTTATTTACAATGATGACCTGAATACTACAAAGCCCTCCTGGAATGATTAAAATATGCCAGATGCGTTTCCTGTGTCAAGAAAAATGTCCTAATCATGAAAGCTGATTAACAGAGACTCATGTCCTGACACCTACCAGGAGCACATAAAGTTTGGGAAATGTGCTGGACAGGGCTTGAG